AGATAAGAAAATATAAATATACTATTTTAATAATATTCTTTAAAACTATTTAACAATATAATAGTTAACAAATGTATATAATATTAGTTGGTTTTTACTAGATAAAAGATTCCAAATTATTAATATTGCAAAAATTATAATAAATAATTTTTATTGATTAACTTTAAAATTTAAAAATTTAATATCTATTGCTATTTTTGAGGAATTCTACAAATCTTTAGGAATATAAAAATATTATTATATGTACTTGAATAATATTTAGTTCTTTATAATCTAATATATTTTTATTAATTTAAATATTTTAAATAATATATTTTGTAAAATTTAAAATAGATAATATATTAGATTAATAATTATATATTGAATGGGATTATAATATGAAAGATACAATAATTTTGATTATTATATATTATAAGCTTTTATATATCTTTTACAAAAAGTATTATTGATATAATATCTTTATTATTTAATATAAAAATGATAATTTAATAATATAAATTATTTTTTTAATATTATTATAATTATTATATTAACTTATTTTGCTATACATATTATATATTGACGATTTTTTGCAATAATAATATTTAAATACTGCTCCAATATGTTCTAATATTTTTTGTACAATTAGTATTACAAAAATATTATATAATAATAATTTAAATATATTATTCATTAGATATTTTTTAAGTTTTCAAAAGATTAATATTATATTATAATATAATTAATTTATTAATAATAAATACAAAATAATTATTTATTTTATGCAATTTTGATTCATATAAGTCTAATATCAAAATATTTTCTGGTTTAAATCTTATACTTCTTGATAAATTATTAATTATTATATAAATTGCATCGATATTATAGAATAAATATATAAAGAATAAAATTAATTTATATTGATTATTAATATTCTTTTAATAAAAATAAAACTCAAGAAAGTTACAAATAACTAGTTTAGTTACAGATTTATTATTCTTACTAAAAAAAGATATATTAAATATATTAGAAAAAATTAAAAAGATTTTTATTTTTGCAATTAGATCTTCTTGTAAAAAATAAATATATGTTAATATATAAAATGAAATAAATTTATAAAAGACTTGAAAAATCTTATTTTCATAATTTGAATTTTTCAATAAATAAATAAATTGTTATATTAGCTTAATATTTATAATTACTAATTATAATTACTAATTATATTGAAACTGCATGAACATGCAAATTTTTTATTTTTATATATAATATATAATTGTTTTTTATTATTTTTATTGAACTCTGATTTGTTTTTATTTATAATATTATTTTTTAAATTAGTAATAGTGAACTAGATAATATATCAAGTATTTTAATCAATTTCTGAAAGCAAAACCAATAAATTATTTGTAAATTAAAAAAAATTAAAAAACTTATTTTGCACAAGTTTTTTTTGTACAATAATTTTTCTTATTTATTTATTTTTTCTTTTTTATTATAAATCTAACTTTATTAGAGATTTGCCTTCTTCTTTTCAAAATCTTATAAAAAATTATGTTAGTATATTTTAAAAAGACTATTTTTAGATTTATTTTTTTATCTCCTTAGCATTTACATATATTAATATATTAATTTTTTTAAGATTAAAATATAAAAATTTCTTTTTGAAATAACTTTTTAATAATTATTTTTTTTATAAGATAATTATTCTATTTATAATCTGATCAGATATCTATAATAAAATTAATATAAAATTAAAAGTTACAGAAAACAAAATCATTTTTATTCACTAATTTAATCATTAAATTAATATATCTAAAAATAAAATATAATAGTTTTTGTTATAACTAAGAAAATAACTCTAGTAACAATCTAAAATTTTTTTGTATCTAGCAAAATAATTTTTTATTGATCAAACTCTTTTTGATTCCAAGTTTATTTAATAAAATGAAATTGATAGAAAGTTTAATCTTTAAGTTATTAATCATTTAGAATTTTACAAATTATTTTTTAATTGCATTAGCTAGATAGATATTAATAAATAAAACTTGAATAAAAAAGAATTAAAGATTTTAAAAAACTTGTCTTTATATTAATTATACAAAACTATTTGCATATTAAAGAAGTATTTTCTAGCTGTTATCAAATAAGATTTCTATTTATTTATAACTAATTATTAAGAATTCAGTTAAATGTTATTTATAATTTTATATTTAATAAATTTCAAATAATAAAATTTATAATATAAATTAGAAATTATTTGTTAAATAAACTATAATACTCACTTATTTAAATATTAGATTAATAACTAATATAATTTCTTTATTACTTATAAATATTATCACAATTTGATTACAAGATTTATTTGATCTAATTATAAAAGTAATAATTAACAAGTTTAGATCATTGTAATTACTAGTAGAGTCTATAGCCAAAAAATTTAAATATTTAGATAACAATTTTGGTATTATAGTTAATATAATATTAAAATATATAGCTTGATCTTTTGAATTATTAGTATCTTTAATATTATATTGTTTTAATATAACAATATCTTCTTTTTTATTATAGAACAAATCTGTAAATTAAAGTAAATTAATATGCAAAAATGAAGAAATAAAAAACAAATTAATTAATTATCTTTTCAAATTCTAGTATACCTGAATAATGTAATTTTTGTTGTACTTGAAGATGTTTTGAATGATCTTGAGATTGGGTGCAAATTAAGTAGAAATTGATTAAATATAGTTGACAAAAGTGCTAGAATTTATACTAAGAATCTTTGTATTTTTCATAAATTTTAAAATACAAGCACAATTAATTAATTATAAATTTGAACACTTATTTTTCTAAATTTATCTGACTCTTATGTGTGCAGTCCTCTAACAAAATTTTATAATCATCACCTAACTTTTCATCTTCTAATGACATAATATCAAAAGTGTACAAGTCTAATACTAAAGCAATCTTTGTGAACAGTACTTGCATGTATCATATGTTTGATAGCAATGGCTATTAAATAATGTTTTTTGTCTTGGGCTTGATGATACTAGAAGATAATAGTTTATTCATTATTAGTAAGACGTATCTATATTAAATATAACATAATAATATCAAGTATCTATTACCTACGTGATTTCACATTTTTATATAAAATTTATACTTTGTTCACAAAAAAATTGAATTTCACCTGATATGACCAGATTTCACCAAAAAAGTCAGATTTTATATGATACGACCAGTAAAATTCAGATTTACTAAAAATATCAGATTTCACATGACACAAACAATAAATGCAGGTTTTATATAATAATCGCAAAAAATAATAGATTTTATATGATATAATTGATTAATGCGAATTTTCTCTTTGCAATCCAGATTTCACCTTGTCATATTATTATTATTAATTTATTCAGATAAATAATCAATAAGAACAAAAATTTTATTTAATAATTGTTTTTTTATAATTTTTTCAATTTTCAATTATAATTTTATAATAATTATGTCTCTTTTTATATTTTAAAAAGAAAAATTCATATTGAATAGTATTACTTTATAAAGTCTAATAGTAAATAATACTATTAAAATATAATTATTCCAATCTTTATCTAAAGCAATAGTAAGTTTTTATAATATTATTAATAATATTCAATGAATTATTTATTTTACAATTATAGTTATTTGTGAATATAATAATAATAATATTTATTGATAAGTTCTTATATTATTTAAACAATATTTACTGAGTTTTTTTATGGGATCTAATTTATATACAAGTTTTAATTGAATTGATGAATTTTTTTTGATTGCAAAAATAATATAAGTTTTAATGAGTAAACTTATTAAAGAGTTGTTGAAAATTTTATTAAAAGATACATGTATGAAAATTTGACTGAAAATTATTAAAAATCATGAAATAAAAAAATAATAATATTTTTAATGGTATTTTAATTAATAACTCTTTAAACTATTTTAACAAGTTTACTTATAACTATTTTAAGAAAATATCTTTTACTGAGAATGATCTAAAAAAATTCGAGGTAAAATCGATAAAATTTTTTGTAATTAGCTAGAAATTTTTTAAAAGATTTTTATTATTTAATCAGAAAACTTGCTCTAAATTATAAAAAACATATACATGATTTGAAAAAATAATTGGAGATACAAATTATCATTGCATTAAATTCGATGATTAAAATTAATACATTCTCATAACGTTTTGGCATTGAATTTACGAGCTTAATTAAAACTTTTTGGGAATACTGACCCACTCACTCTCTACCATAAAACGTTCCAATTCTTCAAGATTTTTTGGCATACGCTTTTCTTATTACTTCTTGCTTTAATAATATCAGTTTGTAGAATTTGTGCAAACTGATGGTCAACTTCAATATCTCACAAAAATTTTTCCACCATTCACTCTAAATTAAATAATATATAAATTATATTAATCGTTACTTTTAAATTATATAATGCATTTCTCCATTCTATAACTTCGGGAACATTTTCATGAAGGAATTTCTTTGCTTTACGACAGGTTAGTTCTTGGCGAATATATTGTCCAATCGTTTTTGATCTCTGGTGTGATTTTTCGGATGACCATTTCCTTTTCTGTGCTTAAATTTCCTTTTTAAATGTTATAACGATAATAAATAGTTGACACTGGAAACTTCGTAAGTTTATATAATTTTGATGCTGAACGTACTCCTTTCTGCCAGTGATGTAATAAAATCTGGCGTCGTGTTTTTATATCAGACGGCAATGTTTTTGTATGAAATACGAAAAGAAAATTATACCAATCATATTCACACTAGACAAATCGGGAAAGTGAGTTACGAGAAAATATCCAATTAGCGTGTGTTCAAGAATTACCGAGCAAATCGCAAAATTTAACATCCCTAATAGTATTTCTAAAGATGCAAATGCAAATTTCGGATATCAATTATTTAGCAATAAAAATTCTAAAGTACAATTAATTGTTGATACATAAAAATGCTCTAATAGGCTATTATTCTCGAGTCAAATTACTCGTTTTTCAATAATTTCAACATTTCACTAAGAGTTTTTTCTAATCCTTCCATACGACCTTCTAATTTCTTCATGCGACCATCGAATCCCTCCATATGACCGTCTAACTTATGATATGCTTCTTTAATATGGGACAGTTCGTCTTTTGTATTTTCATCTACATCGTCAATATGTTTTGACTGTCTTTTTGCATTTTCGGTATAAGATTCGTCGTGTGTTTCTTTGATTTTCTTTCTCAGTTTGTTCAGTTCATCACCTGGAATAGAGTAGTAAATGTATCGATGTTGCGAAAATGCATCCGGGTAATTCATTAAAAGATGCGCACGCATTTGTACGACCGCTCTTTTCTCTAGAGCTGTTTCATCTAGAGCTTTTCTAAAATAAATGATATAAATTAAAGGATTTCTTAATAAAACTATAAGCTAAAAAAAGTCTAAATTACCCCATTAAACCGATCAATAGATTTTGCATAAGCGTAGCCAAAAATATACTGCCAAGCACCGTGATGAGATCAACGGGCCAAAATCTCCAATTGTCGATCTGATCCCAGCGTCCAGCGATCCAAAAGTAGACTGCCTCAATTGATTTATCCCAATCGTAATAGTAATTGTCTGATTTATCCGCCCAATCCAAATCTTGAGTCATGTTGAAATCCGGACGTGCTGTTTGATTGTTGAGATTCATTGTCGTAAGATTTCCTTTAAACGTCGATGATTGGGGAAATATACCAATCCCGGGGGCAAATCGTAAGAGTAATAGCCTGAAAATCAAATATTCAATTTTAATGTAAACGATAAAGAGAAACCTAAAGAATAATAAAATACTTACATAGAGATTGCGAAGCCTACAATAATAAATAACTGCGAAAGAAGGAATCCAAATATGTTTATGATAACATTGATAATAATGAAGATGTACTTTCCGACCACTATTTATATCAAGTTAGTTATAGATATACAGATACATAGATATAGATACAGATAAGCTTTTTTCAGATAATATAAATCATATAAATCAAAATTAAGAACTTACATGGCAAAAATCGCATTTGAAAGAACTAAAAATTATAGCAATTTTAGATAAAGTATCATCTTAACATATTAAACAAACAATTCATCGAGTACTTACAAAAACAACCCATAATAATAATCCGGCCAATGAGTAAAAGATAACCTCAGCTTGACATTGGTTGTTATACTGTTGGCAATAAAGATCTTCTTTTCTTGTGTCTTCGGAAGGTAGCAAGTCGACATAATGCGTATGTACCCATAACATCCATGCTGAACCAAAAAATGGCAAAGTTGAGCCAAAAAGATCGAACGCGTATAAAATTGATGGCAAATGTTGTGACCAGGGTATATAACGACCTCTTCGTACTTTTCCAGTAAAATGTATATATGCAAATCCACACATTACGCCGGAAACCGGCTTAAATAAAGTTCCGACTGCTATTCCATACACAATCTTATTTAAATGTGCATAACTTTGCCATACAAATACTGTTGCGTAAAGAACATATAATAGAAACCGTATAACAATAAAGACACTGGTATAATGACGCCATTGGAAATCAACAATTGCTTCGATTGAGGGATTATCGAAAATTTCACCAGTTTTATCGTTGATTACGAGATAGATAAACGGGCTTCTATTGCCGTGATGTCGTTCAAGTAAGATTAAATTTAATAAAAAATTGTAAATAAAGTCAAGAATGGCATCACTATATCGTTTTTTGAAACTTTGCATCACGCCTGGTAGCGGGACTTGATAATATTTCGTATTCGTCTTTCGATATTTAGAGCGGTGAGTTATCTTTTCATCTTCCAATTGTTCCAGTTGTTTTTGACGAAAATTATCGAAAAGATTAAATTCGCAATGAAATGAGCGAACTGAATCATATTCGTCAGATGGTCGATAAAACTTCCATGACTTATCCAGAGGAATCTCTTTTTCATGGAAAATTGTACGATTCATTAGTTCACTCACAAGTTCTAAAGAATTATAGTTAATTAGTATTTTTTTTTTCATTCATGTAAAGATTATATCGATATAAAATACATACTTGGATATTTTGCGATCAATTCGGGTAAAGCTTGAGTAACAGTTTCCATCCAGCTTGTTTGACCTTCAGCATTAGCGGAATAATATTTTAAAAGAGATTCTACTGTGTCATGCTGAAAATAATCACTTGCAATCCTCAAAGCACTACGATGCTCTTTGTCAACTATTGGTTTAGGAAGAAACCATACAAAGTTATACTTTGTTTCATTTTGATATTGGAAAACTTGTTCTGGAATATGTAATTGTAACTTAGGCTCGATCAAAATCTTTCCACGAACTACTGCTGTTAAGTCTGCTTCGATCATTGTTGCCACGATACGAAAACGAACATCTAATATTCGGAAATTATCCTGTTCGGTAATCGCTTTTTCAATAATGCCAGATGCGGCTTGTTTTATGTTTTGCTGAAGAATATTGAGCTCTGCCATTTTTCTATCAACTTCCGCTTCCACTTTTCTTTCCTTTGCTTCCTTCTTTTCCTTTTCGAGTTCTTGTTTTTGTTTTAGTATCAATTTCAAGGCACTTATCATTCCTAGTATGGACATTGCATCCGGTTCTATTTTAACGGAATGTTCCAAGGGTTCGTCTAGCGATTTTATCTTTATTTTTACTTTATCAATTGCGACTAAACTATCGTCTTCCTGTTCAAGAATTATGGTAGGTTCTTTTAAATATCTTGAGTAAATTGAAGGAATCGACCAAATGTTCAATAAAGTTTCTGGTTCATTTTTTGATTTTTCGTTTTTTGCCCAAATTTGAACTATATTATTTGAAACTATTATTTTTATTAGTTTGTTTTTGATACCTTTGCAATTTATTATCTTTTCTTCGTCCACAAAAAACCATGATACATTGCTGTTTCTGTAACTCTTATTTTTCGCCGCCTCTATGCACGAGTAAAATAATTGGAAATTTTCTTTTACTTTAAAGTAAATTCCGTTTTTTATTTTTAAGAATTCAAAATCATCGACGTCATTAAATGTACATGTATAATATTCTTGGTCTCTATCGCTGTTCTCGAGTGTGATATTAAAATTTTCAGCAATGTCCCTCAGAATCTGATCTTCTTGATCACGTTCAATGCTTGAGGTTCCCGGCATGTTCCAAATCCAAATTTCCTTTTCATATGTCCTTTTTTCTTTGATCTCTGTTATTTTATCTTGCTGTTTTTTGCTAGGAAGATATGATGACGAAGATGAAGCTGTTGATGATGGTGGTGATGTGGATTCTGATGTCGTTTCTTTTTCACAAACTATCAAAAGTTTTGTATTCTTCGCAATAAATGCCATAAATCTGATTTTTGCATTTTTATTAGGTAGTTCGCGTGTTATTAAATCGATTGTATTGGGAAAAAAGTATATCGTGAATGAATTGTCACCCATTGTAGCCGCTAAATATTTTGATTCGTCATACTCGTCATGTTCCATGGAAACCGCAAATATAGGTAAAATTTCATATCGCTTTATTTTGTTGTATTCAGGCTTAGAATCCTCATGAAAGCTATATTTTTCGTTCACAACTTTAAACAGTTTATCGAGTTCGCCTGTTTTGAGATTATATCTTTCGATTTTGTTGCTTTTTTTACGGCTGATGGAAAACAAGTGTTTATCTATTATGCAATTATTCAATTTATGTTCTACAATTTCTTCGGATATTTTAGTTTTATTCGCAAATTTGTGCATTGGTGGTGGATAAGCATGATCGGTGTTTGTTCGTTTCATAATAGTGCCTTGAAAGAAAGATCTTTTTATTTCCAAATCGAGATGATGTTGATCAATTGAGGTGATTCTAAAGTTATTTCGTCGTAATATGATAAGTTCGTTCTTCTTAAGAAATTTGATAATTCCGTTTCCGATTCCATGAAATCGTTCATATCGTCCCACGAGGTTATTAAATGAATTATATGTGAAAAGAAAGATATCTTTTGTGCTAAACCTCTTCGTGATTAAATTATTGCTCGATTTAAAGGTTACATCTATCTCAGGATCCCATCTATTCGGATTAAAGTTATAAAAAGAAAAAGCAATTCTACAGATGCGTTGGGTAATATCAGAAATTGCAATTGAGAATTTCAGCCCCGTGTTTCCGTTAATTTGTTTTTTGTCGTTATCATGTTCTATATGAATCTCGAAGTATCCGATAGTTTGCTTTTCACCACCCAGGTTATGATGTTCTATGCGAATTACAGCTGTAGATAACATTGAAAAATCAATTCTTTTATGTATTTATTTAATAGATTAATAAGGATAGAACTTACTTTTTTTCTCATATGTGAATTCAGATAAAGTAACAACGCTTCCTCCATCTCGGCTTATTTCGGCTTTTAATATTTCGAAGGAAATACCTTCATATACACGTAGATCACTTATATCTTCTTTTTAAGAATTGGCAAAAGTTAAAATTAAAGCTTGCAAAAATAATTACAAGTGCATTCGTTTTCTTACGTTTTTCATCATCACGTGAAAAACGCCTAAAAGAATATCGATATGGAACTTTATAATAAAAGGATATTTTTTGAATTACAATCACTTTTAAGAATTTACAATTATTAACAAATTAATGAATGTAGTGTCTCAGACGAAACTAGTTTCGCCAAAGTGCTTATAAATCAGAGTTTCGGATAGTTTCGGACTTATAGGCGAAACGTTCGGGATAGTTTCGGACTTATAGGCGAAACGTTTCGGATTTTGAAAAATAGTTTCGCCCGAAACACTAAATGAATGCGAACCTGTATCGTTAATTTGAAGTACAGTTTCCTTGGTGTCTTGAACGTATGACATTTTTTATGAATAGGAGTATTCGAACGTATACAGAATTTACAAATTATTAGCTTTTATAGAAAAAACTGTTACTAATATTACTTTTTACGTATTAACATTAATGTTTTCAATAACACAACAGCGATATAAGACAATTTTTTGGCAAATGAGGAATGTGAATGACAAATAGAGTAAATCGATATATCGATATGCGAAATATCGAGTTAACATTTTTGTGACCACAGACAGTTGTTTGGTCACTCAAAATGCCGTGTACCGGTTTCCATTCAAACAACGCCAGGATGACGGAGAAATGTCCATTTACGTTTATCGTTATCGTTATCTCCTTGATACTTTATTATGACTATGGTCCACATTGATAGTAGCAGTAGCGCGCGATGGTTCTATTGAAAACTGCTTTTTATGGTAATTTCAAATGATAAACTATTTCTGTGTCATTCAAAATGTTCGTGTAAAGGTGCTTTTTATTGTGCCGTGTAATACTAAATTTTATTTCATTAATAAATGCTTTAATAATAAAATGCGGTACGCCATTGCAATGTTAATATTGAAAAAGTCGAAATACGTGTAGAAATAAATTCACTCATTTTTTTGAGAATATGAAATTTTTTCAAGAACAGCTCATGTGATCAATAGCGATAGAACGTATTATCAAATTCAATATCGTTAGTGTTACTATTCAATTCTATAGATGAAAAATTCTATCATTCGTTACGTTATTAATTAGAAGCATTGTACTCGATGCATGTATAATGGCGTTAGATTCTCGAAGACTCTATGAACACAAATGTTTGCTAGCCCGCGAAAAAAAATTGTTTCTGCATGTACATTATTAACGTTAAGGGAAATCTCGTAAAACATGCATATTTGATTACTAATACTAACGCTAATAATGAAATGGATTAATACCGATACGTAACAATAACCATTGTTTAATACAAATAAAGACTTTAGAAAAATTCAATAAGATTACGTATCGGTATTGTTAAATACATCGATATGTCATTTGATGGTGTAAAACAACACATTAAGTGTGTTATTATACACACCAAGAGAGTAGAATTAAATGCCATGTGTACATTATTGGCGTGGGTGATACGATAAATCGATCTTTTAATCGTCCTCTTTCTGTAGAACATGATGTGCATTAAACAATACAGTAATTATACTTTTTGACTATATTTAATTTTGAAATTACAAAATGTGAACGAATGCACCATTATATATTTTCCTTTCTGTTTGTTCTTGCATTTATTAATTTATATTTTTTATTCACGTATATGCTAAAGAATTTGTGGAATTAAAAAATTTACAAATGATACAAAAATTGAAATTAATTTAACGTTAAGGACTGAATCGACGAAAACACGCATAAATTATTACTAGCAGCATTTTATAGGGGTTGTTAATGGAGTGAAATTCTCCAGTCTATACAGTCAATATTATAATTTACATGTACTCCAGAGTCAAGTATTGTTGAGCTAATTTATTTAATTTATTCTTATTTAAAAGTCACCATTCATACAGTCCTTTTTTTTGGAAGAAGCAATGAGTGAGTTGAATAAACCTTAAATATATGTTAATGCTAAAATTGTAAATGAATTCAAATTAGTCAACAAATATTGAAAGGAAATACGTACCCGGAAATTTGAGATTTTAACCAACTTTCCGTAGATCATCTGTAATGTACATGTACCAAAATTTTCCGAGCACAAAGAACAGAGCAAAGCACGTGACTAATAGACATTACCGCAAAAACAATCCAATTAAATCATTGTAATCATGTGAGTTTATGTTGTTAACCTCAGTCATCGATATGAAACTAGAAATACGTACGTAGTTATTATCGTATGGTGATCCAAGTCGTTATAAATTTGATTTTGCAGCCGAGCCAGCTAGCTTCTTGCGCAATATATAATCATAGGAAAATAACTAATTTTATATCACATTATTACATTTTCAAAATCGAAAGTAACAAGTGCCTTATAATTTCTAAATTTAAAAGAACTACGTATACCAACCTACAATCAGGCTATGTGGTTATTAATTGATCAGCTTGTTATAACTTATCACCAGAAAAGCATTCATGATTTGAAGAATATCAATGTATTTATAAATCAGGAATCAGTCAGATGAAAAGTAACCAACCAGCATTATTTAGAAAATTCAATACCGAAGATCATGCTAGAAATATGATAACAATGATATTGAACAATCTACTTTTGAAAAGAAATTTTTGTCAGTGTATCAATATAAAAAAATAAAAGTCATACTGAATGCTAATATTACTTTTTAATCTGATTGAAATTTGAATACACGCGTTTACTCAAGGTTTCCAATTCTATTAAGACTTATTCAAATTTACCAAGTTTAACTTAAAGTAAACCATATCAATATTAAAACCAATATAAACTTAAGTTTAGAGTAAGTTTTCAAAGTATATAAAAATTAACATTGTGATACACGTCTATTTGTTTCCAATTAAGATATAAATGTGGCATCTTTAAGTGGTTAAAAATAACAATTTAAATAACCTTATTAAGTGGTTTTAAAAATAACAATTTAAATTACCTTAACGTTAACGTTAAAGTGGCAAAAGCAATCGAGAATATCCAGTGCTCGTCAGAACGTACTCCCCTTAACTTTCCATAGATCATGTGTAATGTACCAAAATTTTCCGAGCACAAAGAACATTACAAATGCTGATCGTT